CATTGGTGAATGCCACAAATTCTCCTAAATCACTCGTACGCACAACTTAAGAACAAATCTGTGCGTACGAACGGTTCTTGCATGAGGCCCATTGATTCCAGCACAGTGAATACAATTTGTAGTCTGTGATGATGTTGAACACCTTACAAAGATCTAACAACATGGTCCTGATTAGTCTGAAAGAATTTAACTGTTTTATTTTTCAATTTCAGAATCTCCTTCCATGTGTCAGTGTGTTTTCAAACAAAACCTGAAGCAGAAATTCGAACGTGTGTGCGAGGGGATCACTAAAGCAGGGCACCCAACCCTTTTGAATCAGATCTACACAGAGCTCTACATCACAGAGGGAGGGACTGGAGATGTCAATGATGAACATGAGGTCAGACAGATTGAAACAGCATCCAGGAAACCACACAGACCAGAAACAAGCATCAGACAAGAAGACATCTTTAAACTCCCACCTGGAAGAAATGAACCAATCAGAACAGTCCTGACAAAGGGAGTAGCTGGTATTGGAAAAACAGTCTTAACACAGAAGTTCACTCTGGACTGGGCTGAAGACAGAACCAACCAGGACTTTCACTTCTTGTTTCCATTCACTTTCAGAGAGCTGAATGTGCTGAAAGAGAAAAAGTTCAGTCTGGTGGAACTTCTTCATCACTTTTTTACTGAAACCAAAGAAATGTGCAGCTTTGAAGGCTTCCAGCTGGTCTTCATCTTTGATGGTCTGGATGAATGTCGACTTCCTCTGGACTTCCACAGGAACCAGGTCCTGACTGATGTCACAGAGTCCACCTCAGTGGATGTTCTGCTGACAAACCTGATCAGGGGGAACCTGCTTCCCTCTGCTCGCCTCTGGATAACCACAAGACCTGCAGCAGCCAATCAGATCCCTGCTGACTGTGTTGGCATGGTGACAGAGGTCAGAGGCTTCACTGACCCACAGAAGGARGAGTACTTCAGGAAGAGGTTCAGAGATGAGGAGCAGGTCAGCAGGATCATCTCCCACATCAAGATCTCACGAAGCCTCCACATCATGTGCCACATCCCAGTCTTCTGCTGGATCACTGCTACAGTTCTGGACCATGTGTTGAAGAGTAGAGAGGGAGGAGACCTGCCCAACACCCTGACTGAGATGTACATCCACTTCCTGCTGGTTCAGACCAAAGTCAAGAAGCTCAAGTATGATGGGGGAGCTGAGACAGATCCAGACTGGAGTCCAGAGACCAGGAAGATGATTGAGTCTCTGGGAAAACTGGCTTTTGATCAACTTCAGAAAGGAAACCTGATCTTCTATGAATCAGACCTGACAGAGTGTGGCATCAACATCAGAGCAGCCTCAGTGTACTCAGGAGTGTTCACCCAGATCTTTAAAGAAGAGAGAGGACTGTACCAGAACCGGGTGTTCTGCTTCGTCCATCTGAGTGTTCAGGAGTTTCTGGCTGCTCTTCATGTCCACTTGACCTTTGTCAACTCTGGTTTAAATCTACTCAAAGAACAAAAATCATCTTCTAAAAATTCTGAAACAAGCAATGATGAACCAGCAATGGTAAATCTATACGAGACTGCTGTAGACAAGGCCTTACAGAGTCAAAATGGACACCTTGACTTGTTCCTCCGGTTCCTCTTGGGTCTTTCACTGCAGACCAATCAGACTTTCCTACGAGGCCTACTGACACAGACAGGAAGTGTCTCACAGACCAATCAGGAAACAATCCAGTACATCAAGAAGAAGATCAGTGAGAATCAGTCTGTAGAGAAAAGCATCAATCTGTTCCACTGTCTGAATGAACTGAATGATCATTCTCTAGTGAAGGAGATCCAACAGTCTYTGAGKTCAGGAAAGCTCTCCACAGATAAACTGTCTCCTGCTCAGTGGTCAGCTCTGGCCTTCATCTTGCTCTCATCAGAAAAAGATCTGGATGTGTTTGACCTAAAGAAATACTCTGCTTCAGAGGAAGCTCTTCTGAGGCTGTTGCCWGTGATCAAAGCCTCTAAGAAAGCTTTGTAAGTAATAACTTTATTTATTCAGTGACTCCCGACAAATACAGCAAAGTTCTGCAAATAACCTGGTTAAAAATGTAAAGGGCCATGACGATACAACCAAAAAATGAGTTTTGTACTGGACTCAGAGATTTTACTTATCTGTTGCCAGTATTACCACAAAAACACATGGGTTTTCCTTCAGAGATAAATTAGTCTMAAAAAGATATGAATGCTCACAACCAGATTTGAGTACGCAACAATATTCAACTGCACAAACTTTGAGCGTGCACAAGATTTCAGCAAGCATATCAAGATTCAAGTGTGCAAAAAGATTTGAATGCACAACCAGTTTTAAGGGAGCACATCATGATTCGYGCATGCATGCAACAAGATTCATTGGCACAAAATTTGATTGAGCACATCAAGATTTGAGWGTGCAACAAGATTCGAGCATGCAACAAGGTTCAAATGTCTTGTTGATTTGAGTGAGTACATCAAGATTTGCGTGTGCAACACAATTCTACTGTGCAAAAAAATTCGAGATGTAGATTTGAGTGGCAAAAAATTAGCGCCAGCACAAGATTTGAGCTTGCAAGCAACAACATTTGAGCATCCTAAAATTCTGAGCAAGCACATAAAGATTTGAGCGTGTAACTAGATTAGAGTGAGCAGTACAAGATTTAGGCAAGCACATCGGGATTCAAGCGTGCAACAAGATTTGAGGGAGCAAAAGATCTGAGCCAGCACAGTTTGAGGGAACAGATTTGACCAAGCAACACCATTTAATTGAGCACATAAAGTTTTAAGCGAGCTAACAACAAGATTTAAGTGAGCAAACACAATTTGAGCGAGCAAGCATCAAGATTTGAGCGAGCAAACATCAAAATTTGAATGAGCAAGCAACAAGATTTGAGTGTGCAACAATATCCAAGCCAGCAACAAGATTTGGGTGTGTGTAAGATCAGAGCAAGCACATCAAGATTGTACATCAAAATTCAAGTAACAAGATTTGAGCGTGCACAGGGTTTGAACATGCAAGAATATTTCCTATGTTTCTTGTAACTGTGTTTACTTGTACCTATGTGTCCTGGTAGCTATGATTCTCTGTACTTATGCTTCCCTGTACCTAAGTTTTTTGTTCCTTTGTTTTCTTGTACCTATGATTCTTGGTATCTGTTATTCTTGTACCTTTTTCCCAGTGCCTATGTTTCCCCGTAACTATGTTTTCCTGTATCTACGTTTCTCAGTACCTATTTTTTGGTACCTGTTTTTCAATACCTGCGTTTCTCAGTATATATGTTTCCCTGTACCTACATTTCTCAGTATGTTTCTCAGTATGTTTCTCAGTACTTATGTTTCTTGATACCTTTGTTACCTGGTTAATGAATGAATGAATGAATGAATGAATGAATGAATGAATGAATGAATGAATGAATGAATTAATTAATTAATGAATTAATTAATTAATTAATTATTAACTGTAATCAGTATCAGTAAACATGTTTACTGATACCTATGTTCCCCTGTACTTTAAATGGGGAACATATTACAGGCAATTCTGTATTTATCCACAATTGGCACAGTTTTGTTGTTTGGAATTTTCTTATTCATATTTTTTTATAAATCATTACTCAATATGTTGCTTTTTACATAATCTTAATATTTTTCTTTCCAGGCTTAGTGGATGTAACCTTTCAGTCAAAAGCTGTGAAGCTCTGGCCTTAGTTCTTTGCTCACAGTCCTCTAGCTTAAAAGAGCTGGACTTAAGTAATAATGACCTGCAAGACTCAGGAGTGAAGCACTTGTCTGCTGGACTGGAAAGCTCATATTGTAAACTGGAAATACTCAGGTAAGATCTCATATCTTTACAATCAGTTTGTTTTTGTTATTGCTCCCCGTCATCGTGAAAACTGGGCAGTTTTATAATTATTGTTATTGAAATAGAATTTTACAGTCTGATATCCAGGTATAAATAGTTTTGTGTAACTTTTTTGTTTTGTGTATCTACAGGCTTTCGGGCTGTCTGATCACAGAGCAAGGTTGTGCTTCTCTTGCATCAGCTCTGAAGTCCAACCCCTCCTATATGAGAGAGCTGGACCTGAGCTACAATCATCCTGGAGACTCAGGAGTGAAGCTGCTGTCAGCTGGTTTGGAGACTCCTCAGTGGAGACTCAACACTCTCAGGTCAGTCCTCACCATACAGTTAAAATAAGCAAAATACTGTATAAAAATAACTGGATCTTGCAAAACCAAAGCAAGAGGCGTGTCTTTCTTGATACAAAAATGGGCTCATCTCTGGTGCATGTCCAGGCGTGTTCCATGATTCAGACCCTGTTTGAGCTGTTCATATAGGATCTCAAATGGTAAATGGTCTGAATTTGTACAGTACTTTATCAAGTCCAAGGACTCCAAAACTCTTTACATAGTCATTCTTCTATTCGTGCACCATTCACACACTGTTGGYGGCAAGCTACATTGTAGCTACATTGTACTGGCAACAGGACAAACTTCCTATCTCCTGAGTCACTGTCAACTCTCTGTCTAACTGCAGCTGTGCAGACGAGATAATCTGGTTTGGGAACCTCAGAGTCGCATCTCTGCTTTTTGCAGATGATGTGTTCCTGTTGGTGCTTTCAAGCCATGATCTTCAGCGTGCACTGGGGTGTTCTGCAGCTAAGTATGAAGGGCCTGGAAAAAGAATCAGTTTGAGGTCATGGTTATCAACAGTGGTGGTCATGGCTCACCTAATGGCAAAACTAATTTTTCATTTAGCCGATTTGCTTTTGCACTAACTTTGAAAACAGTTAGCTGACCAATTAGGTTCCACTAAAAGGTTTGTCCAACTTTAAGTCAATTTAAAGTTAACCAACAAGCATCAACATCCACAGGTTTTTGTTAGTCCCACCAGTCTTATAGGAAGAAACATGTGCCATCAGACACTGAATTGAAATTGTTCAGACTGAATCTGTATTTAGTTTAAAATTGAATGCATTGGTTTGAAAATAAATTTCAATAAACTGAAGCTGAACTTAATGGTTTGAAACCAAATTTAAAGTTTTGAAAAGAAATACTTTGCTTTGAATCTGTATTTTGTTGTATTAAAAATTCTGATTAATTTCACTTTCAGTTTTTTAATTCAGTTTCAATTCCAAAGTTCAGTTTTTGTGTCACATATCCAGGTTCTTGAGAAAGCCAGAGTAAACACAAATTAGAACAGATTTATGTTTCACATCAGTGGAACCTCCTTTCTGTCTGCATAGGTGTTCAGTCTCAAAGAAAGTAGCAATCACCATTGCCAGACAAATTGTACGATAAATAATTAAAAAAATTCATGATGTTTGAAATTAATTTGATAATTGGACAGTTTTAATGCATGGTTGAATTAATAAGTAGCTGTCCGACATCACATGCGAGAGAGCTGGCAGATTGCAGAGCATATTGTTACCTTTTTAGCAACTTTGTTACAGTAGTGACTGTTTTTCAGAAAAGCAACTAGCAAAATATCTCAAGTAGGAGTTTCTGAAGTACATAGAGGAGTTTCTTGTTGTGTGGGTGGAGTTTGAGCATTTTGTCATTTCACTTTTTCAGAGCTGACGCTGGTGAAGCCCATTGGTTGAAGCCAAGTTTGAGGAAATGTGAGTGTGTTTTTATTCATGCATATACAGCGGGTAAAATAAGTATTGAACACGTCACCATTTTTCTCAGTAAATATATTACTAGAGGTGCTAATGACATGAAATTTTC